CGTGGGGAGACAGCGGGTCAGCCGGCGGACCGGAAGGCCGGGACCGAAGGGCCCCGGGTGAGGCCTGGAGTCAACTGTCAGGGGAGGTGAGAGTCGAGCTCCTCCTCCTCTCCGCCTCCCCCGACACGTCCCGCTCACCGTTGTTCTGGCTCAGTTCTTCTCCGCGAGGGAGTTTTGTCCTAAAATTCGTCTCCTCGCACGCGCCAGTTCGCACCTGTGTCGAGCCTGCCTGCTGTGAGAGAGAGTTGTTTTGTTTAAATTCTTCTCCTCGTGCTGCTCCCCGCCCTGCCCCTCGAGTTTCTCGACGCGCTGGTTGGCGCCTTCGACGCGGAGACGTGGCACGCGCCGCTGCCGCGCGTGCACTGCTACTGCTTCTCCAAGGTTGCTCTCTGACACACTCCCCACGCCACGTTACGCACTTTCACCCGCACTCCTCCCTTTGCCGGCGCCTCTGCCGCTGCTCCTCTAATGATTGAACGAACGGACGGACTCACTCTCGCCTCGGCCCTGCTGCGCCCCCCAGGAGACCGCGGCGCCCGAGGCGGACGTGATTCGGCGTTGCTCGCGCTCGCCCCGCCGCCGGCAGGGGCGGTCGAGGCTGAGCCGAGATTTTGCCGAGATCGTAGGCGGGCGGAGGAGGTGCTGGGCTGCACGATCCCCGGCGCCGAGGCGACGGTCGTGCGCGACGTCGCTCCGAACAAGCGCGTAGCCCCCCCGCCCCTCTTCCTGGTCACGGCGCGAAAGGGACCGTTTCATCTTAGTTAATACTCGCGTCCACACATGCAGGTGCGTATGTGGGCTCGGTGCACATGAGCACTTACACGTCAGGGCGCGAGCCTTAGCTAAGATACGCGCCTACACGTGTCCTTGGAGCACTTGGAGTGCAGTCGGTAACCTCACATCCAGGGCCGGTGAGCTGTCCGTGGTCATTTTTGACCCACTTTCCGGGTTTGCCGCCGGAGATGAATGTGCCGAAGACCTACATCTTACAGGCCACCATAAGGGTCGACCAGTGGCCAAACCCGGTGGTCTATAGGTCGGCACCGACCAACGCAAGCCACCCGGCGCACGCGCGGACGAACAAGCTACTGCCAACCTCGTGGACCACCACACTCTTCACACACGACCAACTCGACGCCTACTTTGAAAACCACCACAACCAAAGGCTCCGAAAGTGCTACGCCTCGCTCAGGCCGTGGGCGTACCGCGCCGACCTCTTCCGCCTCGCCATACTGCACGACCGCGGAGGAATCTGGATGGACTTCACGACCGAGCTGCTCCGACCGCTAGACGTGCTGCTGCCCTCCGGCGCGAGCCTCGGCCTCGTGCGCGAGCGGCCTGGCTTTGGGATGGACTACGGCGTCTTCAACGCCTTCCTGGCGGTACGAGAGCCGCGCCACCCATTCTTCGCCGCCGCGCTGGAAAGAAGCGTCACCGTCTGCCTCGCGCGGGACTACGGCTCGACACCGTGGTCTATCACGGGGCCCGAGCTGCTTGGGCGCGTGGCGCGTGACGCGCCGCGGCTTGTGCGCGATGTGACCTGGCTACGGCACGCTCCCGAGGGCGGCGCCATTGAGACGACCGGCGAGCGCGGCCACAAGCGCGTCGCCATCACCAAGCACTCTGACATTCGGCGCTTCATCCCGCTCTCGAATGCGTACATTGGCATGTGGAAGTCGCGCACCGTCTTCCGGCACTCCAAGTCCAAGGGGGGGCTCGGGATACGGAGTTGATTGCACTCTCCCAAAGAACGGATGTATTTATATCGCCCTCACATTGATAGTTACAATACCTCAAAGTTGAAAACCTCCAAAATCTAGAGAGCCGTAGGCCGTCAGCGTGGGGCGCTGGCGGCTCCGGTCAGGACTCTGTCAGGACTCTGTCAGGACTCCGTCAGGACTCCGCCAGGACAACCACTGTCCCCCCGCTGTGAATAGAGCCCTTAGCTAGAGAGTAGGGAGGGGTGTACAGTCGAGTTACTCCCGAGGGCAGGGACGGCCATCCACTGAGGGAAAGGGCGCACGTGAGGACGGTATGCTCACGACCCAGCCACGCAGCTCTTTCCTCGCGTACAGCCATCGAGTTTGCTGGTCCACAGGCAGGCCAGGCCGTGAGCGTGGGCCGGTCAGGCCTGATCCTGCGGTGAGCACTGGAGGGCTATGCGGCTCGCTCCGACTTGCGCTGTCGAGCGGTCGAGCGCTTCGGGTTGGTAGGACCCGTGGGAGGGCTCCTGGTCCTGCGCGGCTGACATGGCCAGCCAAGCCGTGTGCGTTGCCGTGGGCGCTGCCGTGGGTGCTGCCATGGGCGCTGCCGTGGGCGCTGCCGTGGGCGCTGCCGTGGGCGCTGCCGTGGGCGCTGCCGTGGGCGCTGCCGTGGGCGCTGCCGTGGGCGCTGCCGTGGGCGCTGCCGTGGGCGCTGCCGTGGGCGCTGCCTCGGTCAGCAGTCGGTCAGCCGTCGTCCGCTGCTCGGCGCTGGCTTGCAGGCCGCCGGTGGCAAATCAGGGGCGCGCGGGCCATGAGCTCGCGAGCGCCCGA